CGAGAGAAGGGAATGTACTGAGAACAAGTTCCCAGAGGAAGTGGAGGGTGAGGAATGCAAACATGTACAGGAATGAGGGCGGTTCAGACAGGGTGCTGGCTTGACCCTGAGATAGCCCAATCCCCACTGGACCCTAGAACTTGGAGTCGAGGGCAAGAGATACTCAAGAAGGAATTTTTTTAAAAATATGGGGCAGGGGGGAAAGGCAGGAGTAACTGGAAATTGATACCACTGCAATAATGATGCCAAAAACAACAAAATATTTCAGGCACTCATGACCTCTCTTCACAGCAGCCTCATCTATGTTCAGAGAAAATGTGGTTGTTGGAACCTGCGGGAAACAAAAGCCTGCCCGGGGCTGAAGGCTCGTCAGACCATCACCAGAGAGGGCACGGGCGCAGCCATGCAGCCACTCTGGCTTCACAGCCTGTAAAAGCTGAGATCTCCAACTTTCGGAATTGTGAAAGTTCCCCCACAATAAATGCAGTTTCACTGTGGGGCTCCCTAACAACAGCTGCGAGTCCCGAAACTCTAATCTTCATTTTATAATGGACCATGTCAACCAGAGGGTACCAATACACGGGCAGCAAGAGAATGAAAAGAAAACATCATTTCCCCAACCTACTGGCCTTTTGCAAAGTGCTGGGGGTGGGGCAGGGGAGTGGAGAGGGGGAAGTGTAAATGGCCTAGCTGTGTCCCTCTAAAGACAAGTGCTTCTGATTTAGGGAAGGAAAAGGGGCTAGGTGAGGTAAGGACGATGTGCAGGTGACAATAACTAGTATTGAGTATTTAAAAAAAAATTTTTTTTTAGAGACAGCGTCTTGCTCTGGTGCTCAGGCTGGAGTGCAGTGATGCGATCATAGCTCACTATAACCTCAAACTCCTGAGTTCAAAAAATCCTCCGGAGTAGCTGAGACTACACGCACAGACTACTACAACTAGCTAATTTTTCACTTCATTTTTTTTTTTTTTTTTTTATTTTGTAGAGACAGGGCCCTCACTAGATTCCCCAAGCTGGTCTTAAACTCTTAACCTCAAGTGAACCTCCCACCTCAGCCTCCCAAAGCCTGAGATTACAGGGATGAGCCACTGCATACAGCCAATTTGAGTGAGTATGTGTGTGTGTGTGTGTGTGTGTGTGTGTGTGTGTGTGTTTAATGGAGTCTGGCTCTGTCACCCAGGCTGGAGTGCAGTGGCATGATCTAGGCTCACTGCAACCTCCGCCTCCTGGGTTCAAGCAATTCTTCTGCCTCAGCTTCCCTAGTAGCTTCATGCACTACCACGCCCAGCTGTTTTTTTTTTTTTTAGTAGAGATGGGGGTTTCACCATGTTGGCCAGACTGGTCTGGAACTCCTAACCTCAAGTGACCCACTTACCTTGGTGTCCCAAAGTGCTGGGATTACAAGCATGAGCCACCAACCCCAGCCCAATATGAGTATTTTTGAGGGATCTTTTGCAAGAAGATGACCATTCGAAAGGGTGTGTTGATTTCAGTTACCCATCCCATCTGTGCAGTAGAGTGAAGGGAAAGATTATGAGTCTCAAGCCAGACAAACCTGGATGCAAACCCAGACAAGTTGCTTAACTCTTCAGGGTCTATTTCCTCAACTGCAAAATGGAGATAATTGCTTTACCTACTTCAAAGGCTGTTGTGAGGATTAAATGAAACTGTATGAAAAGCGCTGGCCACCAGACATTGGGTAAATATTGTTGTTGTTAAACTGCACGTGTGGGTGCCTAACAAGGAGCACATGGTCATCAATTACCACCGCAAAGCTGCTTAACCTAGGGCAGGCAGCAGCTGCATGGGCACCTCCATCCCTCCAACGCCAATGAGCAAATGGCAATGAAAAAGCTGTGACACTGACATCCCTCTCACAGGGAAAGGCATCAGTTCCCCTCACTCTTCCCTCTACTCCAAGAACCACACCCCATTTTACATCTCTAAAAATTCTCAGCTGGGCGCAGTGGCTCATGCCTGTAACCCCAGCACTTTGGGAGGCCGAGGTGGGTGGATCAACTGAGATCGGGAGTTCAAGTGCAGCCTGACCAACATGGAGAAACCCTGTCTCTACTAAAAATACAAAATTAGCCAGGGGTGGTGGTGCATGCCTGTAATCCCAGCTGCTCAGAAGGCTGAGGCAGGAGAATCGCTTGAACCCAGGAGGCGCAGATTACCGTGAGCTGAGAGCATGCCATTGCACTCCAGTATGGGCATCAAGAGTGAAACTCTGTCTAAAAAAAAAAATTATCCAGGGGGTTTAAAACAAAAAGTCAGGGCAATCCACTGACTCATTGGCCAGGCTACCCTGAGAGTTACCAGAAACCTAGACATGCTCATCAGTTTCCAAGGAAAGAACCCTAGAGCTGCCTCTTGATCCAGCCACAGGCAATCACACCATCAGAGGGCTGTTTTGCAAGGGCCCAGCCGAATTCGAGGCCCAAACTCGCACTTTAACTGCAGTGCTTCTCAGGAGTATAAATACAAGAGGACCCAGCTTCCCATCCTCTCCACCTCAGCTGACCAGGCACTATGGGCAAAAGGCACACCACAGGGCCAAAGCCCCCAAGACTTTTGCCCACAGTGGGCAATATCAGGGGCCCCTGCCCCAGCAGCGCTGGGACCTCCGCAGTGAGAAGGCTTTAATGCTGAACAAATCACTTCAATCAACTGGAGTCAGGGCAGGGAAGGGGATTTCAGAAGGAACAGTAGAGTCTTACTGCACCAACCCCTGGCCTCCTCCACCGACAGGATGAGGCCGCTTCCCTCCCACCTCTCGGCTGCCCTATCTCTCCCGCCTGCCCAATTCCCCATCTCAACAACGGGCTTATATCAGGCAGGGCCAGGATTCTTCTCTTCCCATAGGCTGTCACACTGTAATATTTGCTCTGCTTCCTTCCTTTCCAAAGCCTACCAGATTAGATTGCTGGAGTCCCATTCAGCTCACTGAGACAGATGGAAAATGGAAAGTAAGGCAACCCAAACTGTTCATGGTGGAAAGAGAGGGAGGGGGCAGAGCAACCCAACATCACAGCACCCAGATCCTCTTTTCCAAGCCCTACGTCTATCACAGCCAGAATAAGTCAAGCCACAGCAGTTTCCGTGAATCAGGAGAGATATTTGGAGGCACTGTGGTCTGCAGCGAGCTCTCATCTGAGTCATCCAGACTTTCAGCAGGGGCATCACCCACCTGTCCATCTGTCCCATGAAGAGGACAGGAGATCAATGCCAGTGGACGCACACACTTCCTGCTGCTTGGGTCTTCCTAGTATCCTAGCACTTCAGCAAACACTTGGCAAGGTAGTGGGAGGGCTGCTCTGGAGCTCAGCTGATAGGGCTCATCAGCCTTCCCCTTCCCACTTCTGCAGAACCAAAACCTGCAGGTCTTCAAGATTTATTTTAACCATTCTAAAATACCAAGCTGAATATGGTTCAGCTCACTATCATGACATGATGGGATCTGCAGGCCCTACTTCCTTACACAGAAGAGAGAAGAAAGCACCAATAACAAGGAAAAAGAAAGGTATGCAAAAACTCTTCACCAAAGGGAGGGCAGTTTCCCAACCAATACCAAGATAATTACCGATCTGTGAAATGAGCAAGGCTCCCATTACAAGCCAGTTAAAACTCCACTAGGAGTGCCACAGTAATTCGCAGAAAGTGTGCTGTAATGTACAAACAGGGCCAAAGGATATTTAGGTGTAAAGGCAACATCCGGACTAATAACTCCCATGTACCAGCTTGGTGATCCAAATTGCTACAGGTTTCAGGAGCAACCACACTGCTCTTTTCTCTGCCATTTGGACAAGTGCAGACAATTCATGTGTTTGCATTTATTCACGAAGGTAACAAACGTTTACTTAGCACCTGGTACATGTCGCATGTTGGGCTGGCCATAATCCAGACTACGATAGTGCAAAAGTCATCTGCCTTCAAGTGGCACATAGTGAAGAAGGCTAACATCTGAGATGATGATGATGCTTTCTAAAAGCTTACTCTGGCTTCTCAAAACAAGTGCACTTACAAGTCCTGTAAGCTCCCAAAAGACAAGGTCCAGTCCTCCAGAGGTAAAGGAAAAAGAAAAAAATCAATAAATAAGGCAGGAGATGTGTTTTGTTCATCACTGCCTTGCATGTATAATACCTGTCAACTGAATGCAACTGATATAGAAAACAAAAACTTCCACTCTTTCAGGATCTTTTGCTTTACGGTTTGGAAGTCTTCACCACCAAAGAAAAACAATGACAAAAGAAGGGAGAATGGGACTTGGTCCGAAACATGAAGAACACCGTTTGTGCAATCTGGGGACTTCAGCCCCAACTGCACCTACAGCTCAGCCTTCAGAGCCCCCAGAGCCACAGCTGGCTTCCTGACGGGTGCTCTCCCCTCCCTCCTCTCTGCCATTTACTGTCCTCTGAAAACCCCACTTGGAGCCCTAAAGAAAGAAAGAGGGAGGGCAGGAAGAAGGAATGAGAAGGGGAAGATACATCCTGAACCTGTGTTCACCAAGAAGGAAGGAAGCCAAACCTTAAGGCGAGGGCCTGGGGGCAGGGCTGGCCCCGGGGAGGAGATGTGAGGGTGCTCCGGCCTCCGCTGGCCCTGCGCCCCTCTCTGGGCGTACGGAGACCCTTTTCCTTTGAAAACGTTCTGGCTACCACCCCCCCACCACCACCACCCTTCTTTTTTCTTTCTTTTTTAAAAAAATTTTGGTGAAATCGTCTTTAGGAATGGAGCAGAAAAGGGAAGCTGGAAGGTGAGGAAGAAGTTGGTGATAGAAGGAACGACAGCTCCCCTCGAGGGCTCACCCAACTTGGCACCGAACCTGCATTTTAGGGCAGTCCTCTCCACTGCCTGGAGTTCCAGAAGCCCAAAGGCCAGGCTGCACCCAGAGGAAAGGTCGGGTGTCCCTAGGGGAGCCTTCTAGGCCTGTCAAGTCAAAAGGTAGTGGGGCGAGAGAAAGATGAGTCTCCACGGCCCCATCCAGACCCGAGGGACTTGCCTGGGGACGTTCTCTGCTCTCCTCCCCTCCCGCAGCCCGGGCAGTCGTTGCGTGGCCGGTGCCCCAGCTCCAGAACCCGCAGAGAAGTTTCGCCGCTGCAAACGTGAGAAAATGCAGCTCAGCAGAACTCCCGCCCCTACCCTCCCCGCGGCCCCACCCCCGCAGCCCGACCCCTGGCGGCGGCGACCTTGGCCACCGGGGGCACTTGGAGGATGGGCTGCCCTCGGGGCTTTCTCGGAGGGCTGGAGGAGGCCTCCTGGGTCTGCGGCCACCTCCCCTCGCCTGTCAGCCATCGGGACCCGCGTACGCAGCCCTGCGCGCGCGCGCCCCCAGCGCCCCTAGGCTGCCTGGCCCCCGCCGGAGCGCCCCCTGCACCCCCAGCCCCGCCGGCCCCCGCGCGCCCCTCTGCACCGCTCCACTCCCCGGCCCGCGAGGGCGCCCAACTTACCCCGCCGTGCAGGGGCCGGGGCTCGGGCAAGGCGCGTTACATCGGGTGGGGTCGCCCCTACGGCCGCCGGGTCCGCCGCGCTCGGGGGATTTCGGGGTCTCGCTGCCAAACTCTCCGCGCCTCTGGCTCCCCTGGCTCTTGTCTCCCCCTGTACCCCCTCCTTCGCTCCCGTCCCTCTGCTCTTTTTTCCGGGTTAATTACGTTTCGCATTAAAGCAAAACCCAGCCCCGGATGTGAGTACAATGCTCCGCGGAGCCCGCCGGGGAGGGAGAGGGGTGCCGGGGCGCCGCGGGCTGGGAGGGGGCGCGGCTGGGCGCCGGGGCCGCGCCGGGGAGGCGGGGCGGGGCTCCCAGAGGCTGCGCGGGAGGCAGCCCGGGGTCCACGCCGCGCAAGTGGGACCCGCGCCCCGACACTGCCCCGCTGGGAGGCCCAGCCCTGACGCTCGCTCGGGCAGCAGGTGTCCGGGCGGGGGGCGTCCTCGCAGAAGGAGGCAAGCTGGAGCGCGGGCTCCCTCGGGAACCCCATTTCCTCCTCCCAGAGCCCCACCCAGCGGCCTCAACGGGGCCTTCTTCAGATCCTGAGGTCTTAGCCTTTGGGGGCCGAGGAGTTAGGGTTAGGGTTAGGGTCCCAAGAAGAGTAGCTACTTCAGGTTGTCCTAAATGTGCCCTGAGAGACAGTGGCCCGGAACACTCCAACCAGGGCTATAGGGACTTTAATTTCTTTCTTTTTATTATTATTATAATATATATATATATATATATATATATATATTTTTTTTTTATTAAGGCAGGCTCTGGCTCTGCCGCCCGGGCTGGACTGCAATGGCACAATCACCGTAGCCTCGACCTCCTGGGCTCCAGCGATCCTCCTGCCCCAGCCTCCAGAGTAGCTGGGCCCAAAGGCACCTACAGCGAGCCCGCTGGGACTTTTTCGGTGTGGCGCGAGAGCTTAAGGGTGCTCTGGGAAAAATGTGAAACAGACAAGCATGTGTTACGTAGACATCGCTAAGAGGAACTAAGAGCTGCTGTGCGCCGGTGCCGCCCCTGTGCTATCTCATTCGATCCACGCCGCAACCTATAGGTACCAATCGCGTTCACGGTGAGGAAACCGAGACTCAGATGCGTGAAGTAATTTGCTCTGGGTCCCCAGTTAGTAAACGGCAGGTCTGTCAGGTTCTGACTCCGGCCTCCCACGTGGGAAGAGAGACATTTGAATATGCATCAAGTCAGGAGCAGAACATCCGAAACATGAAAATGTAGGGGATTCGCGCGGGCCTGCAGGGCGGTGCGCCGGGGTCTAGCCGTCCTGATGCAAACGTTGTTAATCAGGTGTAAAGCCTGAGAAGCTTTGAGAGAGGCGGGCGTAAGAAGACGCTGAGGTTCTTCAGGACAAGGACTGGATTTGCTGCAAGGAGGGAGAGGCTGGGGCACGTTCCGGAGTCATGGTGGAAAGGCGACCCCTTAAGTCTCCACGACCCGAGGCCACAACGCCTGGGGAGGGGTCTCCGGCCAACGAGCCAGAGGGAGAAGGACAGCCCGCCCCTCAATCTCGAAAGCACCAGTGATGAAACCACACAAGTTTTCTCTTGCATTTTGATTGCCAAAGCAAAAATGAGCCGCGCTTGTCTCCTCTCAGGTGTGGAAGAAAAAAAAAAAAAGACTGCTTTACAGCATTTTGCTTTGAATGAGGAAGAAAGGGGGAAAGCAAGAAAAAAAAATTCCCTTTAAATAAATACATCAATGTCTTCCCCTCCCCCCCCCCTTGCGTGTGGAGGGTTTTGCCCCTCATCTGTAGGTTTCAGGCACCAGAACATACTGAAGAGCGTCTTCTCTGGAAGCAAAGAACCTAGATTTGAAGCCCAGCTCTGACGTTTATTGGCTTTGACCTCTGGGCGAGTTATTTAACTTCTCAGTGTCTGTTTGTCAGGAATGGTCAGTGAGTTAACATTTGTGAAGTGTTGAGATTCCTGTCGAACATGAAGTAGGTGCTATGTAAACGTTTTTTTTTTAATTTAAAAATTAGATGATCATTTTCAGTGTGAAAAGCAACACAATTCCATCCAGCTCCAAGCAAATCTGAGTGGAACAGAGGGTTTCCAGCATAAGCAATGAGGTAAATTTCTCAGATTTCATGGTATGGTTCATATTAAACTCATAAAACCCTACTCCCCATGGGGCTGCCTGAGTCACTCCATCACAGAGCCACAAATATTTCCTAAGCACTACTGTATTGGATGCTGAGAGGCAAAGAGAAGCAGAAGGCCTTGGGTGGCAAGAGACTGCAAGTGTCTCTAGAAGGCTGCAGCAGCCTTACGCCCTGGGAATGGCACAGAGAGTAAGTACTGTCAGCTTTTAGAAAGACAAGATGTAGCCAGGGGCAGTGGCTCATGCCTGTAATCCCAGCACTTTGGGGGACGGAGGCAGGAGGATCCCTTGAGCTCAGGAGTTCGAGACCAGCCTGGGCGACTAGGGAAACTTCATCTCTACAAAAAAATTAAAAGTACTTAAATTAGCCAGGCATGCACCTGTGTTCTCACCTACTCGAGAGGTTGAGGTGAAAAGATCACTTGAGCCGAGGAATTTGAGCCATGATCATGCCACTGCACTCCAGCTTGCGTGACAGATGAGAACCTGTCTGAAGAAGAAAAAAAAAAGAAGGAAATGTGTCTCTGTGTGGGGTATGCTGGGGGAGCTCAAGAAGGGAGTGGGCTTTGAAATGGGACTGAGATGGGTAGGGTTTGAGCACAGTGAGAGGAGGCCAAGAACATGTTGAGCTGAGGGAGGGTCATCAGTGCATTTGGGGCGATGCTCATTCTTCATTGGAGCCCCGCTGGCTGCTACACGTGCCCCTGGCCAGGACCTGGCCCCAGTTAGATGACAAATCCTGCACTAATGGCTACTCTCTTATCCCTGGATCTCCCAGGGCTTCCTCAGAGGCCCCCACCCCAACTCCTCCTCTAATGTTACCTTGAAGCAGGTGTCAAGTGAGTCTGCGCCCTGCTATCTTTTGCCATCCCTCTCTCTTTTTGGGGGGGACACTTTTTTATTGTAATAAAATACACATGAATAAATTTCACAATTTTAAAGTGTATATGTAGTGGCTTTCAGTACATTCACGATGTTGTACAACTCTCACCACTGTCTAGTTCCAACCCATTTTCATTGCTTCTAAAGGTGACACCTACCTATTAAGCAGTCACCGCCCAATCATCTTTTCTCCCAGCCCCTAGTCACCACTAACTTGCTTTCCATCCGGTCTACGGATCTGCCCATTTTTGATATTTCATATAAGTCATATGAGTGGAATCTCACTCTGTTGCCCAAGCTGGAGTGCAGTGGTGTGATCTCAGCTCCCTACAACCTCTGCCTCCCAGGTTTAAGCGATTCTCCTGTCTCAGCCTCCCAAGTAGCTGGGATTACAGGCCCGTGCCACCACGCCCGACTAATTTTTGTATTTTTAGTAGAGATTGGAGTTTCACCACATTGGCCAGGCTGGTCTGGAACTCCTGACCTCAAGAGATCCGCCCACCTTGGCCTCCTGAAGTGCTGGGATAACAGATGTGAGCCACTGTGTCCAGCTGTGTCTAGCTTCTCATGTTTCCTTGTTGCCATCACTTCATTGACACGTTTTGAAAATACAGTATTGCTATTGCCTGACTTTATACCTTAATTTTGTTCAGTGCCATAAACGGCCCTGATGTCTGAGAATATCTACCTGTGGGGAAAGAAACGTCAAAAAAGTACCTTTCACATCAACTACTTCAGTCTCCTTGCTGTCCCAAGATAAAATAAAGTGCAACAATTTGCTCAAGGTTTTAAAGCTGTTATAGTGGCAGAGTTGGTTCTAGAACCCAGGATGGACTACCTTAGAATCTTCTAGTATTGGTATAGAAACCTTGCCACCAAGATGAGAACTTCTGGCCTAGAACCTAAGAATCTAAACAGAAAGCCTTATGCACTACTCCAACCATTTCTGCATGGACTTTCTACTCATTTTCAGTGTTCATGGCTGGTTAGCTAGATGACCTAACAACCTCCAGCGGTGAGCAAGTGTGCCCTGCGGGGAGCTATTGTTCTCTGTCCTCACAGATACCCATTACATAAGGCTGCAGCTGGGGCCAGTTAGTTCTATTAGGGAAAGTGTGGGGCCAAAAAAGCCAAGGTCATTGGTTTGATTCTGGTTCGCACCAGTTCATTTTGCACAGACATAAATTGCTCCAGGGCTACACACTGCACCTCTAATGTTAGCCAGTCGTTTTATAAATAGTCGCTATGGGTTTTGATAGCAAAGCATGAATAGTTCTGTAACATCCATCTCTAGAACGATTACTCAAACTGCCATTGTTTCTGTTCAGTCCAATTCATTCAACAATTGTCTGAACCCATTACCATTTTTCCTCTTGTATATCTTGCATTTATTTATTTTCCAGGTACTTACTAAATGCTCATTGTGTTGCACATATTATCTCATTTAAGCTGTATAATGACAGTGACCCTGCTATTATTTTATGGTGATGAGATGACTAAGGATAGAGATGAAGCCTGGATACAAACCTGGACAGCCAGAGACCAGAGCCTAGTCTTTTACTTACCAAGCTACACTGGTAGATACGATGTTAAGCTTTGTAAGGATACAGAAAAACATAAAACAAGACTCTTCACCATCATCCCTGACACTTCCTACATTTATCAACATTTAGAATCTTCGTTCCATTTCACCTAGCAATTGCATATCCAAAGAAAGTTATATGGATATATAGATAGCAATACATGCACATATTTATATTCACTGCAGCATTGGTCTAATGGTAAAAACTCGAAATCACTTTCATGCGTGTCAAGAAGGGGTTGAACAGGTACATCGCTACAATTTTATGCTATGCTGCCGTTAGAAAAGAATGAAGGCTGGGTGGTGTGGTTCATGCCTACAATCCCAACAGTTCGAATGGACAAAGCAGGAGGATCCCTTGAGCCCAGGAGTTCCAGACTAACACGGACAACATGGCGAGGCCCGTCTCTACAAACTATTTTAAAAAATTAGCTGGGGATGATGGTGCACACCTGCAGTTCCAGCTACAACTCAGGAGGCTGAGGCAAGAGGATCACTTGAGCCCAGGAATTCAAGGTTGCAGTGAGCTATGATCCCACCACTACGCTCCAGCCTGGGTGACAGAACCAGATGCTGTCTCAAAAAAAAAAAAAAAAAAAAAAAAGAATGAAGATGAGGTCGATATCTACGTGAAAAATACTATACATTTTAAGTGAAAAAAGCACAGAACTT